CTTACTTACTCAGAGTAAACATCAAAGCCTATGTTTTACCCTCCTTGCATTGTCTTTTGCTTTGAGTGTTTTTTTCTGAACTCCCTATTCCCTCACTGCAAATCTTTCTTTAGTTGTCCTTATTTGAAATTCTCTGATCTTGTATAAAATTGTTACCTTCCTTTCCTTTTGCATTCTCTTTCCCTTTGCTCTTTTTTCTATATATAATCTATGTTTTAAAATTTGCATATTTATTATGTATTTGTTTCTTTGTTTATTTTTCTTAGTAGAGTCAGATGTCTGAGGGCTAGGATTTTCATTTGTTTTGTTCACTGGTGTGTCACAAGTGCAGATGGGAACCAAAGGGAGAATAGGTAGAGACTCTTAAGGGAGAAAGATCTCAAGTTGGAGACATAATGGTCAGTTGTGTCAAAAGGAGAGAAATAATCTAAAAATATTCATGAAATTTTGCATTGAATTTTTTAAGTTAGGAAATTAATGTCTCTTTTGTAAGGAATTTTCAAAGAGAAGATAAAAGGCTTATGAAGGTGGAGGAAGTGTTGCTATCAGTTATAGACTGTTACTTGTTAATTTTGTCACCAATATGGCAGGAATCTAGTGAGTAAAATTAAAAAAAAATATAGAGGGAAAAATTCCTATTTCTTAGGTAATGAATGATATTTCCTTTCAGAAGGTTAGACAATTAGGTGTCTGGAGCTTTCTGTTTTTATTTACTCTTGTGTTTTTAAGTACCTACATTGTTCCAAAAACAATACAGGGTTCTGAGTGTCACCCAGAGGAAGAAGTTTAGTTCCTAACTGAACTGGAGGTGAGTGCTTCACATTGGACACAAACTTACTATAAATCAATCCTTTTTGCTATGTAGTACTAGAAAAAATAATTTCTGACTCGTGTTCCTATCTTTTTTTCTGAAAACCTAATGTACTACCTGTAGTGGATACCTGTGTAAAATGCAAATAAAAACATGTTACTAGATAATATTTTTTCTAATAAATGGGAAAAACATGCAAAGTATAAGCTCCATTTAAAAATTAGATTCAAAAGATAAAGAACTATTGAATTGGTCTCCGAAGTGTATAAGTCATAAACTCATTCCTTAGTTTCTGTATATGTCTCTTGTTGAATTAGTTATAAGAATATGTGGATTAAATAATAGCTCTTGGCTAGACTTCCTCTGATTACAATTAAGATGTACTGATGCAGTATTTCCCTCTCAAAATAACCATATTTGCATAGCAATATACAGTGCTACATAGGCTAAATTTTTCCTTAATTTACATTAATTTTTCTCTTTAAAAGGAGTGAAAGGTTTCAATGATTTATGGATTATAGACTTTTTTAAAAAGAGTGGTAACTTATACTAAGCAAAAGCTCCATTACCTTCTAAATTCTTATATTTAATTGTTAAAATTTTGCTTTTTGATCACAATTGCTGCTTCATTTGATGCTGAAATGGAATGACTTCCTGGAAATAGCGTGATTTTCTTTAACTTTCTAGTTATGTATTTTTTTCTTGTTCTTTGAAACTATAAAACAGGTGTATTTTCAGCATGAAAGGAGCAGTCATACCTCTTAACACCACAAGATGTCACTTATGTTAAAAAAAAAAAAAGTTGATACCCTAAAACTCAAAGCTTGAAAACTATAGACAATTAGTAAATGAAGGACTAGGTGAACAAAAATAATTGGTTTAAAACAAAAGGTCAAAAATTATTTGCTAATTGAGCATTATTTTGATTCAATTCCTGATGTTTGGCTAAAAATTTCTTAATTTTTAAGATTAATGTAATAATATTTGAATCAGCATAAGGGGGAGGTAGACCTAAGATGATTTGGTACAAGTGAATATATACATGGAGGTTAAACTGTGTGTTTGGTATTAGCTTTCCCAAATCCTTGCTGAGAGCAAGCAGTTGAAAAGAAATACATAACTTTTATTGGAATTTTCAGTAAATCTTTGATGTATCTGTGAGAGGTTGAATATATTATTGTATTATTGTATTGTATTATTGTATAATATCTAGAATTTTTCTTTTCTCTGGACATTAAAGTTATTTCTCTGCCTCATTTAAACACAAACTGTATATTTGTTGTTGAAGACCATCTTTTCAGTTAAAAACAAAGAGCAAAGCCTTTTGCTTTAATATGGGAATCCTGTATTTTTGGTTTTGTGGAACAGGTCAGGACCTAAGGAGGTTTCATAGAGGGCTGAGGCATCTTGAGCTTAAGAGGAACAATGAAGTTTCCATTAGGCCATGAATAAGATTACACCTAGGGTTAGAGGTTGGCATGTCTTAAAAATTGACTATTCTTTATTGCTCATTTATCTCTCTAGATAACTGGTGGAGAGAATGTTAGAAAACTTGGGGAAAAGTAGATTTGGCACAAGAAAATTTATTTTGTATTTTGGACATTTATTTCCTTGACCACATTTTCTGTTATTCAGTTCCTATCTAGTTATTTCTGTTGTTTTTTTCTTATGCTAATAAGGTTTTAAGGCTTCTTTTAGGTTTTTCATTTATAAAAATATCCTTGGTAACTTAGTAAAATAATAAAATAGCAAAAAGTGGGAAAAGTTTTATGTTCCATTGATTTTTCTCATTTCAGTTACTTTTTATTTATTTATTTTTTTTGTGCATACAGAACTGGGGTACAGGCCAGAGACTCAGGGGTGGCGAAAGACTTCGCCAGAGACAGAGCGGGATGCAGAACAGGCAGATCAACGAAGTACACTGCTGAGGGGAGCAGCGGGCGGGTCAGGAGAGGTCTGCCTCCCCATGTGGTCACCTCCGGGACAGGCGGGAATCGAACTCATGCGGAAGTGGTCTCAGCTTCTTAGTGCAGTGCTTTAACCCGCTGCGCCACCAGGGAGGGCCTCATTTCAGTTACTTTTGAAGTGTGAATTCCAAGATGTTTTAAGAAGAAAATTTAAATTCATAACAGTTAACATTTATGGTATTTTACTATTTGGTAGTTGTTTATACTCATATGTAGTTTTTACGTACTACTGTCTACTATTTATATATCTTCTAAGTGCACTTTTACTTAATGAAAAGTAGGCAGGCATTTATTTTTGTGTCTCATTAGTGGTTGGTTTCATTAGTTAATTTTTTTTCCCCTGTAATAAATTTCATTGCCTTTATTTTTTTGGGAAAACTGCTTAATTTTCATTTTTACTACAGTGATAGTTTTTAACACTTCATTCCTTTGTTAGTTTGTTACAGCTGTCTTAACAAAGTGCTACAGACTTTGTGGCTTACTCAGCAGGGTGCAAATCCGTGATCAAGATTATGGACGGTTTCTTCTGGGGCCTCTGTCCCTGTCTTGTAGATGCCACATTCTCTGTCTTCACAGGGGCTTTGCTGTGTTCATACCTCTGGTCTTCTTAGGAGGATAGGTACCAGGTCTATTGTGTTAGGACCCCATCTTTATGATCTCATTTAAACATAATTACCTCTCTAAATACTCTGTTCCATGTAAAGTCACATTGGGGATTGGAACTTGAATGTATACATTTTAGAGATGACACAATTCACTCCATTACATGCCTTTTGTCCCCTTTCTCATTGAATTGCTTTTTGTGTGTGCTGAATTTTGAGAGTTCTTTTATATTCTTTTATATTATAGGATGCTATTCTATAATTAGTTTTTTCTTTCTTTCTTTTAGAAGGTTTTTCAAGGAGCAAGTTTTTTGACTTGTATGAGATCCAGTTTGTCAGTTTTCCCTTTTATGATATCAAATAAAAGTATTTTAGCAATATCAATAGATTAAAAAACTGTAATTTTGACAAAAATGATTAAATATTGCAAATTAAACTTTTTTTGCTGGGGTGAATTAATAGAATAAAGGTTTACTAAAAAAATAGAGGCTAGTCAGTTATTAGTAAAATAAACCGCTGGGTGACAATTCTTCATAGGTTTTTCTCAGTTTTGCAACTATTTCCCATAAAGCATTGATAGTTTTTGTTCTGGACTAACTTCCAAGGATGTTTGTATGGCAGGTGGCCTTTGGAAAGAGAATATGTCTACCTTCTTAACAATTATTGTATTTGGTAGCTTCATGATCTGCTTGGTCACCATAGCTGGGAATGTGAACATCCTTATTGAGTGCCCATCTCGTCCTTAATATTCAGTCACTATATCCTGTTTATTGCCACTTTTTTTCCTTTAAAGATTTATTTATTTATGCATACAGAACTGGGGCACAGGTCAGAGGCACAAAGATGGTGAGAGGATTCACCAGAGACAGAATAGGGAGCAGAACAGGCCAACTGATGAAGTACACTGCTGAGGGGAACAGTGGGCAAGTCAGGAGAGGTCTGCTGTGCCATGTGGGTCTCCTCTGGGGAGGGGATTGAACTCATGCTGAAGTGGCTTTAGCTTCTTAGTGTTGTGCTTTAACCTCTGCACCATCAGAAAGGGCCCTTATTGCCACTTTTAAGCAGTTCTTGAATCTGTCTTATATTTTTATCCTAATCAAGAACTGCTCAGATTCATTTAGATGCTAAAGTTGCCTTTACTTAAATCTTTGAATTAGCGATTATTAGTGGATATTCCCCTTCATATTTGTGTTCTTGTCTGGATGTAGGGAGAAAAAAAAGGAATGGTGTTTTTGTCACATCATCTTTCTTTACATATTTTGAAGAAAGGTCTTCGTGTTTGCATATAAAAAACTTTTAGAGTTGGTTTAATTTTTTTTGATGACTAGGGAAAATAAAATAAATTTTTGTATAGAGAATCTGTATGCCTGTTCAAATGGGGATTTTGTACAGAATTAAGATGATGTTTTATACATGTCTTTCATTGATGGACTCTGACATAATCACAACCTGACATTATTTTGAGGGTTAGTTGAGAAATACATATTTAATTATAAATAAGAATTCAGTTACTTGACATTACCTGTCATTACTTCCAATCATAATGAACATGATATATTTTAATATCCATGTAATATGTAACTAAAAATGTGGATTTTTTTCCCTTTTCTTCTCTAATAGGAATGAAGATCTAAAGCAAATGTTGGAAAGCAACAAAGACTCAGCAAAATTGGATGCTATGAAAAGAATTGTTGGGGTAAGTAAAATAGATAATTTTAATTTTAATTTTTGGTAAAGCACATATAGTGATTATGTTATATATAACTATTAATTTTTTGGTTAAATAGCAAATATTCTAATTTTCCCTTTAACACTAACTTGGAATTTCTTGTCTAAAAAAGTTTTTGGAAGAAATACTGAAGCCTTAACATTTAGGAACTTGAGTTTTCACTCCATCTTTTCTGTGTTTTAATTTAACATTTCTCCTGAGAAATATTGAACTAGAGCAGCTTATCTTATTAAAGAGAAAATAAGATTATATACAGAATATTTTGACTTCCAAAAGAGGAATACTAGTTATAAAAAGGTTTTTTGGGGGCACTTTAGGACCTAAAGTATCAAGTTTTCTTCTGTGTGTCAAATTCTGTAACTACCAGTAGAAATGCTTTATTCACTTTAGTGTATAGAAATTCTTATAGGTTATTAGTGAATACAAGAACATTTGCCAGTTTTTTTTGTAATGCAAAATGTACTTAATTTTCTGATCAGTTATTAAAAATTCCATTATTAGCTAAAATATGATGCAGTTTTCTTTATATTTCTGGAAAAAAATATGTCTAATGTTTATAGCACATGTCCATGTGTTATCTTGGCTTGGTGAAATGTGGTGAACTGAGAAGAACGTGAAATGTGTTGCTTTGTGTAATACACTTGTCATAGCTTTTTTATCAAAATGCTGATGAATCGATTATCTAGAATCCATGGAGGAATGGAATATTTTGGTGTATTGAGATCTTTTATGTATTTTCTTTCAGTAAGTGTGGGATATTAAATTTCTTCTTAGCTTACTTCACTTGCCTTTGTGGTCAAAGGATAATGAGAAAATCTGAACTTTTCTTAGATTCCTAAGATTGCTAATTAGTATTATTGATATATATGTGTGTGTGTATAAGCTTATATATATACATATTACAGGATATTTGGTTGGCTATTTTCTTCTTTTTATATTGATGTAACATTAGGACATTGTACAGGTTTAAACTGTACAGTTTCTCACATTAGCAACTATATATATCACTCCAAAGGTTCAGTTACCACTGTTTGTGTGTTATGTATCTTAAGAAACTTAAAAGTAATTTGAAGTTTCAGATATTTTAGCTAAGTGTATTTTAAAAATATTAAACCATGCCAAAGGGCACTGCTTCATTTTTTAAAAATAGGTGTATGATGTTCCATGGAGTATATATCCTACCATTTGTTTATCCATTTGCGTATCATTGAGCATTTTGTTGGGTTCCATGGCTTGGTAATTGTAGACAGTGTTATGAACATAGGGATACATAAGTCTTTCTGTATTAACGTTTTCATATTGAGAGGTATTGCTGGATCACTTGAGATTCCATTTTATTTTCTCAAGAATCTCCATACTATTTTCATGGAGTTTACATCAACTTGCACTCCTAGCAGCAGTGGATGGGAGTTCCTTTTTTGCAGAAGTTAGGTATACCTCATTGCGGTTAGGTATACCTCATTTGATTTGCATTTCCTTTTTGATAAATGATGTTGAATAATTTTCATGTGTCTGTGGACCCACCAGTGTCTTCTTTAGAAAAGTATCTATTGAGTCTAAGACTCAGAGTTAGAACTAGAGTTTGGGGTATTGTTCCTTGTTAGGTGGGAGTTAAGTCATGCTGATGATTGAAATCATAGTAATTTCAAACATTGGTAGTACAGGGTAGTCTGAAAAGATGGTTGTACACAGAACTGTAGAGGATTTTATAAAGAGGACTCTGAAAAGTAATGGTTAGAGAAGTACAGAAACGTATGAAAAGAAAGCCAAGGGCAAATAAATGTTATTTATAGACCCTTTATTCAGATAAAACTAATATAAATATTTTACTCTATATCTTTAATTGGTATATATTTCTTTCATAATATATCTTTTTTTTGTGTATTTATATGGAAATTGTTCTTTGCAGCAAGTAGTTGGGATGAATAAAGTGACTTGAAAGGTCTGTTTGTTAATTCCATAGCTTGCTGATTTAATCTTGTACACTTTTAATGTATGTAGAATTTTTCTTTTCACATGACTAAAAGAAGGCTCAGTCCTAATATTCCATCTTTATTCTTCAGATGATTGCGAAAGGGAAAAATGCATCTGAACTGTTTCCTGCTGTTGTGAAGAATGTGGCCAGTAAAAATATTGAGGTACTGTTTTGGTTCATAGTTTTAATATGTTTTGTGAAAAATAAAATTGTACAATACTTTTCTGTTACTTTGAAATGCAGCATAAGATATTTTGGTATTTTAGAATTTTTGTTGTAATTAAAATGCCCATGATCTTAAATTGACTATTAAAATAGAATAAAAAGTAGACATAATATTACCTTTGGATTTTTGGTGGAGAATGTGAAAGTAAATTTGAGAAAATTCATCTGTAGAGCCATTTTAGTTGAAATTCTGTTCTAAGACCTTGATTTTAAGATAGTTTGTGTCCAGTGAAACAGAAGTATGGCCCTGCAGAAGCAAGGCTTGTTTCCAAGTGTTATGCGTCCAAATGTAGTGCTATTCTAGAGCATCATCATACCTCTGGTAGTCCCTGACTCAGTTTAGCAGATGAGCAGGAGGTGGGGTTTAGTAAGAGCCTTCAATTATTGCACCCTGTATGGAGTATGGAACAGATAATTTTGAGACCAAGTAATGATGGTCAAATGTTCTGCTACTGTGGGTACTTTACCTCCAGTTTTTTTAGCTCTGTGCTTCACTTTGGTAGTTTCCATTGTTATACGCTCATATTAATCCATCTTTCCCTGTCATTTTGAGTCTTTTTCTGTGGTGGGGCCTTTATCATGTTTACTATTAATATGTTCCTGAATTTTAATAACCTATTTAATTTTAACTAATTGCTGAACGTTAGAGAATTTATAATGTTGATTATTGGGTGTTATATTCCTTCCTTAAAATTGTGTGTTCATTTTTTTGTATACATATTAAGTTTATGGAATCATTTGATTGCTTTAAAGCATCATATTATTAGTTGCTACAAAATGTCTTTTAGTCTAGTTTAATATCACTCCTAGTGGTCTGCGTATTTATGACCTGTTCTCTTTCTGACTTGTGGGAAGGTGAGCTACTTACTGTTTACTGTGATCATTGAGACTGTCTGCTTACTTCTTTCCTTTTTATTTTTGATCTGGCCTTAGGCTGTTTTATCTCACTTTTATGCAGTGATGTGCTTAGTCTGTGACTTTTTGGTACCTGGCTATAATGTGCACAGTCTGCCTAACCCTCATTGTGAAGTGTATTGTATGGTTGTTGTGTAAGTGTGTGTGTGTGAGAGAGAGGTACTTGGTGTGAAGTTTCTTCCTTTGTATTCTGCTCATCTAATTGTAGCAACTGTGGGCTTTACAAGCTTTGTTTGTTCTCTGCTTTCCTACAAAGAAAACTTTTGGGTTCTGTTTGAATCAACTCCTTTGTGTTAGTAGACTTATCCTCAATTGTAGGACTCACCTTTATTTTTTTTCTCTTATGGTTTACAGTTCTGTGTTGTGCTGCCTGTTGTTAATGATATGAAAACTGTTTCATTTTTTTCCTTTTGGTGTTCTATTTGGTTAAGTAGGAAGGTAAATTCTATCCTGAAGTTGTTATTATTTTAAAATTATAGCTTTCTATAATAATCTATAACTATTTTTAAGTTTTAAAATATGTGGAATATTGATCAAATGAGAGTCAAAACATCACTCTCGGTTTTCTCTATTTTCCCTGCAGAATTTTCAATTTATAAAATACTTGACAATTCTTTCTCTTTTCTAACTTCTATATCAGAGTTATGTAGCAATGTCTTATGGTACTTTATAGTTACAGTGTATTGAGTGTACTATATACTATTTAGCAATTTTATAATCAATATTTACTTTTTTTTTAGTTTTAAAAAAACGAGGGATTTCTTATAAAAATTTGCATAGGTGCAGGAAAAAAAGAATGACTAAAATAACCATGCCATGAGCATGACAGTAGAAATTTTTGTATAGAGCAATGAGATCAGCTATAATCACATTTTCATTGTATAATGCAAGGACAAAGTTGATGTGAAGTAGACATTTTGCTATTATTTAACGCTTATTGTAGTGCATTAGATATTGTTTCTAATATAAGTAAACTAGTGGTTTAAATTATCTTTCTTCATATAATTAAATGAGCAGTTTAAACAATCTTGTACTTATATTCAAAATCTGAAAAAGTAAATGTGGGCCCTCCCTGGTGGCGCAGCGGGTTAAAGCACAGCACTGAGAATCTGAAGCCACTTCCGTATGAGTTCGATTCCCGCCTGCCGCCTGCCCCGGAGGAGACCACATGGCGAGCCAGACCTCTCCTGGCCCGCCCGCTGCTCCCCTCAGCAGTGTGCTTCGTCGATCTGCCTGTTCTGCTCCCCACTCTGTCTCTGGTGAAGCCTCTCACTGCCCCTGAGCCTCTGGCCTGTACCCCAGTTCTGTATGAATAAATAAATCTTTAAAAAAAAAAAAAAAAAGTAAATGTGAAGTATGTATCATACAATTTCTAGAATACATATGTAAAATAAATCATCTTAACATTTTATTGGAATAATTTGTATCAATATTTCAAAGATCATACTTTAAATTCACTTTTAGGTAGATTTAAAAGTACACTTTATTTATTTTCTTACATTGTTGTTCATTTTTGTGTCCTATATGGTTTCTCCCATCAGGTGTATTCCCCATAGTTCTCCCACCAGTACAGCATCCGTGATTCATCAGCACTGTCCCTTGTGCTCTTCCTTTCCTCATTTAGGCCCCTCTCTTTCCCCTCCTTTCCTGTATGCCTTGGATTTATAGTTTGCCTGTTAGTCATGTCTTTTTCCTGATCCTTTGGTTTCTCTATTTTCCAGTTGCAACAGAAACCATCAGATAGTTTTCTTTCTCCTTCTGCCTCACTTCACTTAGCATAGTCCCTTCTAGCTCCCATGTTGCTGCAGATGGTATGAGTTGATCTTTTTTGATCTCTGAGTAGTGTTACATTGAATACACTCCATTTTTTAAATTAGATAGTAAACACATGTGTTTTAGACAAGTAGACTGAGTAACCACCTTAAAGTCAATTTGAGTAACTTGGGTAAGTTAAAATAAAGATATTTCTTTATGTTCTATTTATGAAATAGATTAAATTAATGTTGAACTATAGTAACTTGATAAAATATTTGTTCTTTCTAGGATTCCAATTTTTGAAGAAATTTAGACTGAACATGAAATCATAAATAGTATTTGCAAATTTTTATCACTACTAGTTTAGTAGATATTTATTAAGTACTATTTATGTGCCTGTTAAATTGTATTAGGGTTTCCTGCATCTCAAATTCATTTGTATGTGGAGGCTTTCCTATACTAGTAGTAATTTTTACACTGTTACCTCAATTCTTACACTGTCTACTTGAAGATAGCATCATATGCTACAGTTAAGGACTCAATCTCCCAAAGACCACAGGCCAGAGTGTTACGTCTCTTTTTAATCAACTGGCTACAAATTGGATGTGTCTATGCCCCCTTCCTGAGGTTTTAGGTGTCATTTACCAACCCCGGTTGTTACCTGTTCTGAGAAATGACTGTAAATCAGAGGTTCCCATCTTCCCCTTTCTTAGTTCAATTGATTTGCTAGAAGAGTACAGAGAAGTCAGGAAATTCTCTGCTCAGTAGTCATCAGTTTATCGCAGGGCATGCTGATGGATATGACTCAACAGCCAGATGCAGTCTCTCCAGGAAAATTGCCCCTATTTTAGAAATATCTCAAAAAGTCACCTTAAGATGCCCTTATCACTTTCAACACTTAGGAAAGCTCAGAATTTTTGAGTATTGTGAGCCAGAAACTGTGGATGAAGTCCAAATATGTATGAGAATATGTATTTGGTCATCTGAATGACCAAATAGATATTTATTATAAATGACAATATTGTACCATTTATACTTCTGAACGCATAATTTCAGAGAGTTATACAAACTGTATGATAGGTTATGGCCATGTTATCTGAGCCTCTAATTTTATTGATATATATATATATGTATTAGTTTTATGATAATCTGGTGTAAGAAAATTCAGATATCTGAAAGAAAAAAAAAATGCCTAAATTTGATTTTAAAAAAAGTGTGAGATGTACATAAATCTTGTGTTAGAATTGGTCATAGCAACAATGATGGCTAATATGTAAAAAATTCTGTCTATGCTAAGTAGATAGTGCTTTATATATCTCAACTTAACTTTATTCTTACAAACACCCCTCTAAGGTTGTTTCTGTTATTATTCCTATTTTACATATGAAAACAAGATAGCAGAGAGGTTGATATTTGACCCAGAAGGTCATGCAGTTAATATGTGTTCCAAAATCCAAATTGTGGTATCTTAGAACCACCCTTTTAGAGCTATTTGAGTCCTTTCTCTTTCTACTTTAATGTTTTTGACATATTTCCAGCTTCTGGTTTTAGGTGTTCTTTGACAAGTATCTGGTACTGGCATAACTTTCTTATCTTTTAAGTCTGGGTAGAAATGATTTACACCTCAATAGTAGTAAATTAGTTTTCAGTGTATTGCAGTTCTTCCTGTTATAAACAAAATATTCTGTACAATTACTGTTCATTCAAACCTATACAATTCAAGTATTTGTCAGTAGTAGTCTTTTGTTCACTTTCCTCCGCCCTCCCTTTACCATCAGCTTCCATTATGTAAACATAATTATTGGTCTGTTTGTTTTGGACTTTTTTTCATTCCTGCAATATGTTGTTAGTTTTTTGAGACATGCTTGATCCTATAATGTTTAAGAAAACTGACATAAGCTTCTTAAAATTTATGTTCAAAGAATTGATTGATATTTCATTGTTTTCAAGTGCAAAATTTCATTTTGATAAGTACATGCTGCCTTCGACACACAATTGTATGTCATCTGCCATTCGATGTCAAATGATACCAAAAGTGACCTAGTAAGCAATCAGTGGTCATAGTACAAAAATAATCAAAGGTTTAGTCAATAGCTCATGAAGTTTGATGTACAAGTATTGATAAACTAATTAAACAGATCTGCCTGTGTTCTTCCAGCCTACTGGGGCTCTTCTATGATTAGCTTTACAGCAAGGAGTGTTGTAACATTGAATGAAAGTAACTGATCAGAGAATGGTGTAGTCACGGAGCTTTAAGTACTCCCATTTCTGGTCACAGAATGGTTTCAAGGAAAGTAGGCTTTCTCTGCACACCTGCAGCCAGTCAGTGCATAGGCCTCTTGTGGTCAATATTGATTGATTCTTATAACAGAACCAGAACAAATTTAGTGTTTTGCAACCTTCTGTGATTTAATATTGTTATGCTTTTTGCTATAACAGTCACAAAAATCCTTCACCAATAGTGAGTAATTATAGCAATACTTGCTAGCTCAGCTGTATTTCTGAATGTTTCAGAGTTGCCAAAATAAACCCCTGGATGTATTCTGGGGTTCATAATTCAGCTTTAAAAATTGACTATATGGTTACTTGGTATATAAAGGTGTTGCTAAGAAATGAATTACAAGGGGATCAGAGGGTAGGTGGACACTAAGACATCTTTCTGTAAAAAACTTTTTCTAGAACTATATAGTAAGGTCTGAATATAAGAAGAAAAAACAATAACTTTGGGGGCAATCTTCTTAATGCCTATAATTTCTTCACAATATGTTGGTGACCTAGGCATTCTTCAGTGAATTATAATGGCAGTAACTTAGACAATAGATGTGGCAGTCTGATAGGAAGTGTCTTAATTTTTTGCATTAGGCTGTGATTTCATTCAGTTGCTAGTTATTCAGTCTGTACTACATGCCAGACAATGTGCTAGGGAAGGTTCTGGGAATATAAAAACAAATAAGAAATGATTATGCATAAAATAACTTTATATTAATTCCATTGTAGAGTTGAGAAAGTCTTATTTAAATGCATTTGTTAGTTAATTTGATATATTGAGTCAGTCAACCAGCAAGTGTTAATTACCTTCTAGCACTACTCTAAGCTGAAAAACTTAAAAGTGTTGGGGAGACAAAGTCATCTTCAAACAATTAAACAAGTATTTCTTTTTTAAAGGTTTATTTATTTATGCATACAGAACTGGGGTGTAGTCAGAGGTGCAGAGATGGTGAGAGGACTCACCAGAGACAGAGTGGGGAGCAGAACAGGATGACTATTGAAGTACACTGCCAAGAGGAGCAGAGGGCAGGTCAGGAGAGGTCTGCCACAGCTTGTGGGGTCACCTCCTGGGTGGGGATAGAACTCAAGCTGAAGTGGCTTTAGCTTCTCAGTGCTGTGCTTTAATCTGCTTCACCACTAGGGAGGGACCACAGAACTGTTTTCTTAAAACTGACTTAACCATTTTTAAAATTCATAGTTCTATTTAAATATATAATTCAGCATGTTGAATTATATTTTAATGATTTGGTTGCTCTGTTAGATATTATTGTCACATAATTTTGGAACCTGTTTTTTTTTATTTTTATGCACGATTACTTGATTCCATATAATCATTTAAAACAAGGGTGTTTCATAATATATTTATTACTATGTTCAGTATATTCTGAAGTTTGAGAATACTGATTTAAGCATAGAAAGTAGAAGATTGTGAATATGCATGCAAGATACATTGATGATAGAGATGGGCAATCTATGGAATGATATCATCTTGACACACTTCACAGTAGAAAATTTTTATTGAATTGATAATAGTAGTACTTCAGTTATGGGCTTATTGAATTAGAGCAGATGCAGATGGGATGATGAGATAGTTTTCTAAGAATTACAAAACTGGATTGGACATTGTACATTAATTAGAACACAAGCTTCATTAAGGATCAAGTGATTTAAAGAATTGTTTGGTTATCAACAGACAGGAAGTTTTAGACACACACACACACATTCTATCTTAAGAGACCCTGAGCTGTGGAAAGGAGTAGTCTCCTGTTTTGTCAGGGGTGACAACAGAAATATCTGAAAAGGACTGCTGTTGTAAGCCACTACATGTAATAGATACATGTCCCTATTTCCTGATTCTTTCTATGTAGGGCAAGTTATATACAACTCTGTGCTTTATTTTCTTCATCTTTGAAAAGGAGATCATAATTGTACCTTAGGTAGATATAAGAATTAAACGAGTGATATAATGTAAGTACAGGGTCTCGTATACTTTAAGTGCTCAGCAAATTTTAGCTGATAAATTATAGTAGATAGCAGTGAAGAACAAAAATATTCCTAGGCAGAGAGTTATTTATTTTGTATGTATAATTAAATTGAATACTGATTAGAATGACAGATATTTATGGAAAAGAAAGGCTGAAAACTTCTTCAGATGACAGACCAATGAAAAATAAAAAATACAATACATGATTCTGGATAAAGAAAAGAAGTTCTATAAATATTGGGTTTTAGTAAAAGTTTTTAAATACAGATTTTCTTTTTTTGGTAAAGGGTTGTATTGTTACTTATTTCCCTGGATTTGAATATGTTAGCAATTAAAAAATATAGGTGAAGACTTATGCATCTTCTGTGAATTAATCTTGCAAATTTTTAATAGGTTGTGTTGAAGAGTGATGGAACTTATACTCAATATCTGAAATAAAAGGACAATCAATTTATTGGCTACTATAGCAAAGGAGAGCTATGTTTTTTGGGCAGTTTCTTTGAGCACAAAAATTACTGATACATAGAGAATTTTTGGTAAAGGTAGATTTAACTTATATAGACTTTTTGACCCTGGTGGGTTGATATCATCTGTATTCAGTTGGGTGAGACTGCTGTTGATTGATTAGTACTCAGGTGTATATTTATTGGAGTATTTGCTTTTATTACCATGCCACTTGTCTAGTACCTTATTTTCTTTTTTAAGATGTCTGTATTTGATACCTATATTTACAGTTGTTAGTGACTTATAATTGGCAGGGTTTTTCTTTTTATTCCTTCTTAAAATAATGGTATATCTAACAATAACAGTGTATCTCAGATGGATAAAATAAGTGTACATTTATTTTTACTAGTAGAGGAATAAAATTGTATAATATTGCATAATGATGAAATGAAATTGTATCATTGCTTAGTACTGTTTTCTACCTATAAAGACTTTTACAAGGGTATGCTTTCAATATCAAGTATGGATTTATTTAATTCTGTGTAGTGGCTGCTTAATATGTTATGTAGATGTATTGTAGTTTATCTTACTGTTATCATTCTTTGTCCTATAGTATTTTATACTTATTTTACAATATAAGCTATGACCAGATTCATTATTTCAGAAAAATTGAGAATGGATTTGGTATTAAAATGCTGAGTTTTTATTTTCATTCTAAGATTAAATTTTTTTTTTTTTGACAGATCAAGAAGTTGGTATACGTTTATCTTGTTCGATATGCTGAAGAACAGCAGGATCTGGCTCTCTTGTCCATAAGTACTTTTCAGCGAGCTCTGAAGGTAAATAATAGAGTGAGCGAACAAATAACTAAGTTTTCTGCATACTGGATACTGTGTTACAGTGGATGGTGTGTGTCATTTAAAGACATGAAACAGCAATCTGTTAAATGACACAGTAATGCTTTGAAAAAGTTACTAGCTCTCACAGTGCATATTCAATACCCCAAGAAAATAATTCACTTATCTCCATGTATATTTTAGTTTCTGTGTTCTTGCCATGTATATTTTAGTTTCTGTGTTCTTATGTTTTCAGTGTAATAATTTTCACTCATCTCTTCATTGTTACACCAACTACTTCTTGAAAGTGTCAAGGAAGGGACATAAACTTGTTAAAGATAAATTCAATAATCCACAGCATTTTTTTTTATTATGAACCGCTTAAAACTCAGAACATTTATTAATAAATCTTCAACTATAATTTCACTTATTACTTTGCTTGTCAAAACATTATTTAGAGAAATACTAATTCTATTACCCATTTCTGTATGCTGGTTGTTTAAATACCTACGCCTCCACCCCCACCCCCATGTTTAAAGAACCTCGTAACTGGATCATAAAATTTTGAAATATAGTGAACTTGAAATTTTGATGTATGATTTTGCACTTTTTTTAGGATCCAAATCAACTAATCCGTGCAAGTGCTTTGAGAGTTCTTTCAAGTATTAGAGTGCCGATTATTGTACCTATTATGATGCTCGCTATTAAGGATGCTTCAGCTGATTTATCACCATATGTTAGGAAGAATGCAGCCCATGCCATACAGAAATTGTATAGGTAGGTGCTTTGGTGCTTGCTTTTTTTTTTTTTAAAGATTTATTTATTTGGGCATACAGAGCTGGGGTTACAGGCCAGAGGCTCAGGGGCAGTGAGAGGCTTCACCAGAGACAGAGTGGGGAACAGAACAGGCAGATCTATGAAGTACACTGCTGAGGGGAGCAGCGGGCGGGTCAGGAGAGGTCTGCCTCGCCATGTCGTCACCTCCGGGGCAGGCGGGAATCAAACTCATGCGGAGTGGCTTTTAGCTTCTCAGTGCTCTGCTTTAACCCGCTGCACCACCAGGGAGGGCTGGTAGGTGCTTTCTTATACCAAATATCTCTACGGTTACCTGGAATGTTATAACCCTTGGAGGATTATTTAATTCTTAAAACTAGTTTGTCCTTACACTAAGTAAAAGCCAGTGACTGTAGTTCTCTCTCCACATTCTTTAATGTCTTTAATTTTGTCTGTGTAGTTTTTTACTTGTGAACCTATGAAGGCCTATGATAATTTGTGCATATTATGTCTTAAAAATAATCAATATTTGGATTCTCATTAATATGGTCTTTTATGTATACATTCCTTTATATTACTAGAAAATGAAGCTATTTCTCTGTTTATTGTGGGATAGAGTCTTTAAGTGTTTTATCCTTGCATTTTCTTTATCTGATTTTATTCTGGAGCAGTTTTGTTAAATAACTAAAAAATTTATTTAAATGTAGTATATTATCATATTTGTATGACATTTGCTAAAATATATGACTTATTTGTTGAAAGTGAAGTGTCTAAATAAAAGGTAATTATCTGTAATATTTTGGTTTTTGTTACCATTTATTTCACAAATTTTATCAAGACCATTTGTGTTTCTGGTGGTGTATTATGAGCTTGAAATATGTGAAAACAGCAAAGGATTTTGTACTTGGGTAGAGCATTCCACATATTTAAGGGGGAAAAAATCAAACATGAATATAATTAGGGCAATCTGTAATCAAATGAGGTAAAAGCATATGCATATATGTGTGTGTATATACACATTGATAGTGTTTTTGGTAGGCTTAGAATCAGACATTTTCTTATGTTATGGCTACATAAAGAGGTTAGGAAAACCCACTTGGAGGAGGGAACCTGGGTCTGGAATATGAAAGAATTTAAAGGTGTGAATGTTCAATGTTATAATATGTATAAACATAATGTTTATAAAAACAAAAACTCATTTTCATAGGTTTACTGTCAGGCAGTATTATGCTTCTCTTTCATTATTTTTTCTCATTGTAAACTTAGAGCATAAGATCCAGGATAACTATTATTATTTAAAAGTCTATCACCAGGCTCCAATTTTTTCTGCCCAACCTCAATTCTTACCGCTGCTTGCCTTAAATGATAGTCTAGTAATAGCTCAGAACTACCTTTTAGTGCTCTTCACAACGTGTTTCTGTCTCATCTCTTATTCTTCTTATTCCTCTTTTTAATTTGTTCCTAGAATATTTCCTCCTTTTTTCCAGTTCTAATATCAAATTGTTTAAGATTCATCCTGAGGTTTCATCTAATTTAAGACACTCTTTACAACTCTTTGCAACCTCTCTGGTGCCCTTCCTTTTTTATCCCCATAATCTTTTATATGCATTTCTGTGATATGGTATTATTCTATTTGGAGCTAAATTTGCTAGACACCATCTTATTTATCTCTGTACATCCATTTTTACTTGCAGTGAATAAGCAACATGTTAGAAATTGTGTGTTGTTGTTGTCTATTTTTGTGCTTAAAGCTGCAGTTCTCATTTCTGTACATATGTGCATTGTCATGTTTATTTCATAGCTTTAGGTGGCAGATTTTATAATGGTGAACTAAAATGGTAAAAAATTCTGTATATATTTTTTGATAATTATATATACGTGATTGTTATCCTGTTATTTTCCTCCCTATTTAAAAAAAAAGTTTTGGTTAATCTACTTGTCATGGTTTTCTTAAGGTTTTACAACTTTATTTTTTAAGCACATCCTTAATGGCATTAGTATCTGGGCTTAATAGGAACAACTTTAGAGGAAAAAGATTTGGGCATGTGAAGAAAATCTTCCCAGTTTCCTACTTTTTTTGAGTTTGACGTAATTCTTTCTTCCCTCTTTTAATTTCTCAAGGTCCTTTAAATGATTAACTCAAAGGGGAAAAAATTAATGTCAGTTGTTTTCTTTTTATATTTTAGTCTTGACCCAGAGCAGAAGGAAATGCTAATTGAAGTAATTGAAAAACTTCTGAGAGATAAAAGCACAGTAAGTTATATATTTTATGTCAAAGTAAAATTGTGTTTTATATTTTACCATTGTATATTTAACACAGTCTAACTGCTTTTGAAATGGTATAAATAATGGTACTTATTAAAATTCTTGAAGAATCCAAACTTCTGAGTAAAAAGGATTGTATTTAGAAATTTAGTTTGTTACAAGTTTCTTTATCAGAGTCTGAAGAAGAGCAAGTTAGGAAAAAAACATTTTTTTAACCTGTGACTAAATTCTTGAGAGCTTTTAGTGCTCAAGATTTTATTTCAAATGATTTATGTATTAGAATTTTTAAAGGTGGGATCACTTGGGAACATGTAATTGTTTTAAAATGAACCAATAAAGTGATAACTGAAAGATAAGAGAATGTGTTTTTTGAAAAATAGTCTGAAGCATTTTCATGTATAGAGGTCTATTCTGTTGGCTGGTAAGGATTCTCACAGGCAAAATAAATCAGCTTTGGGGAATGTGTATATCTCCTCCCTTCCTGACTTCCATTCTGTGTGTATGGTGACATGATAAGATATTTAGAAATATTTGTGGAAACAGACCTCGGAGCTCATGTAATGTTTTCTTTCATGGATATTTCTGCATTCATTAAGCAAAACTATTGAGGAAAAGGATTACAGTTTATCTTAGGATATCATCAGTGAACTTGTAATATCTTTGTTTAGATGCTCTCAATATAGTGGTCCCTAAACCCTATGCAACTGTCCTCTGGCTTAGCTTATATTCATCTGCCCTGGGAAATGCTCAGTGTATTCTTGAGGAAAATATATATTCTGCTGATATTGGGTGGAGGGTTTAATTGGCTTATAGGATTGTATAAGTATTTTAATTAGCTTATAATATTATATATAGTATTGTATAGTACTTATTTCTTTGTTGTTCTTCTATCTGCTGGTTCTATTCATGATTGAAAGTGAATTATTTCTTAATGGGATCTCCCTACTATTTATTATAGAACTGTTTTCTTCTCCTTTCAATTCTGTCATTGTTTACTTCACATAATCAGGAGTTCTGATGTTGGTTACACACAATTTTATAATTGTTTTATCTTCCTTTTATAATTGTAAAGTGTCCTTTTATCTCTAGTAATGTTTTTTTAAGTCTGTTTTCTCCAATATAAAGGCTGTTCATGAAATATTTCTTTTTCCATCTTATTACTTTCAACCTGCCTGTATTTTTTAATTTAATGGGATACCAATAGATGGCATATAGTTAGATCTTATTTTTCAATCCTGTCTTGACAGTATGGTCTTTTTATAGAATTGCTTAATCTAGTCACATTTAATGTTACAGATATTGAGCTGCCATTTTGCTTTGTTGAATATCTTTTTGTTCCTCATTTCACCTCTACTGCTTTCCTTTTACAATAAATGAAGAGATCCTGTTAAATGTTGAAATTCCTTTAATGGTACTCTTCATTGTACATTTTTGAAAGTATTGTTTTATTTGTGAAGATTGTACTCGGAGATTTCATTCCTAAGCAATTCAACAGGTTTCTCTTAGTCTACATAATAGCAGAAATCTTCATTGCATTTCTTTTATTATAACTGATAGAATGTAGGCAGTGAACAAATATGGATTAATTCAGTAAATGAAGACAGATGGAAAAAAAAACTTGGTCCTCTTGTCTTCTGTATAGCATGCTTGCCGTCTCCTTCTAGGATCCAGATATGAAATCAGTATTACTAGTATATGGCTAACTTCATTTTAGAAATAGTAATAACTCAATTTCCTTGTGCAAGATATTTGCTAAGTACTGTGGAGTATATTAAAGGGATACAAAATACAGATTCCTTATTTTAATATGGTTTATCATTTCTACTGCATTGTAGGCTGAAAGAAATTTGGTACATGACCTAAGAATGAAATTTCCATATGAAATGTAATGTATGCATGCCTTCTCAAACAAGATGCAGCAAATAAGAAAACTTTGGAATTAGACAGAATTGGCCTTGAGTTTCTTCATGTCACTTAGTGCCTATTATTGAACATTTATAAGTTTTAGTTGCTATATTTGTAGGGTTTATAATTCTAATGCATAAAGTGTATTTGGGGGAAAGAGAGGTTATATATAAAACTCTCAGCACAATGTATGACATCATAATAGGGGATTAATAAAAATTCCAAAAGTAGAAGTAAGTGATTCAAGAAAGTAGAGGACTTGATTTCTTTATAAATTTGGAGTTTCTATTCTTGGATTCAGATCATTTATTTCCAAAATACAGTTGAAAGGAAAAATTACTAAATACTTTGTCATCGTAGGCATTAAATATTTGTTGAATTATTATAGATTTAGCTTCTTAAGTTTTTGGTGTTAATATCTGGTGTTTGCTGTTATTTTTCCAAAGTGGTCTGTCATGCTTAGTTTTCATGGGTAAAACTTTGGGGGCTTTAATAACCTATTATTTATGAAGAGCTCCATTTTCCTAAAGTGTCAGACAGTATATGTTTGATTTCCTATATTAGAAACATATCTATTATCTATTTTTCTTTCTGTATTAAATAACAATAGTTTAAATTGGTACCTCTAATTTCAATGCAGTAAATTCAGAGTTCCTTCTAGCTTCCTATCTTTTCAACTTCCGACACCCATATTAACAAATGTGGTTCCCATTATACTCATTTGCTTAACTCCAGAATGCAGAGGAAGTGTTGTTTCAGAATTGCTAACATGTAGGAATAGTGAGAGGTATGTAGTTGAGTTAAATATTGGCATAGTGCTGTAGTTACCCTTAGTCTTGTTCTTTGGATTTTGTCTCGTTCATAATTATAAACTTAACTGCAATCCAGCTGGACTTGGAAGGGGATAGGGAAAATACCAAACCCAAAGAATTGTATGGATAGCATCAAAATTAAGGTTATTTTGAGCAAAAGGAGGTGAAGTGTCACTCTACTGAACTACAGAAGCAGGGTCTGATGTTTAAAATAAAACACAAGTCCGATTTGTTATATTTGTCCAGTCAGCTGGTGATCTTGCTATTGTTGACATTTCTGGACCCAAAGAACTCCATGGCCTTCACAATATTCATGCCACGTTTCACTTTGCCAAAGATCATATGCTGCCATCCTACCACTCAGTCTTGAGCTTTTGAAACTTTATAAACAATTCGAAGGAGAGGTGGCTCAGAGGCTCACAGTGGACAGTGATGTCCAAGAACACAGTGGGCCATGACTGCAATATGCAGCATCTGCAAGGCGTAGTCTTTTTTGATTTTATTGTAAATTGAGATGGCTTTATTACCATGTCACTGAACTTGTGTATTGATATATATATAAGAAAACTATTGATTTTCTGTGGTAATTTTTTATTGTTTCTTGAGAGTACTTTTTTTACCTTGTGCATTTTTTTTTTTAAGATTTATTTATTTATTCATACAGAACTGGGGTACAGGCCAGAGATGCAGAGGATGAGAGAATTCACCAGGGACAGAGTGGGGAGGAACAGGCAGATCAACGAAGTACACTGCTGAGGGGAGCAGCGGGCGGGTCAGGAGAGGTCTGCCACGCCATGTGGTCACCTCTGGGGCAGGTGGAGATCGAACTCATGCCGAAGTGCTTAAGCTTCTTAGTGCAGTGCTTTAACCCGTTGCACCACCAGGGAGGGCCTGTCTTGTGCATTTTACATGTTTTATTCTAGAAAATGAATCATCACCTATGAACAGTTTTACTTCCTCTTTTTAATTAATTTGACTACTTTATCTAACTACATTGACTTACAACTTTTGTACAAAATTTAGTGGTGGAGATAGTGCACATCTTTTTGTTTTTAATCTATAGGTAATGCCTGAAATATGTGTACATTATGTAAGAGGCTAACCCTAAAATTTTCTGTTGCTCTTTGCAATGTAATAGTTTACATAGTTTCTCAGGGTTAGTTAGTTCTCAGTGTTTTCCTGGCATCCAGTGACCTTCTTTCAAATGTAGATTCAGAACTAATATTATTTCTGGCAATGTGTGTGTGTTTGTGGGGTGGTGGTGGTGGTGGTAGTGGTGGTGGTGGTAGTAGTAGTAGTAGTCATCATAAACACTACTTCTGTTCATTTGCTACTTTTTTCTTCAGGGACTTATATAAGTTTTATTTCCTTTATCTGTCTGATCTTTCAACTATGTCTCTTTGTCTCTCTCAGCCTCTTCAATTACCCATTTCATTCTTACCCCATTTTCATTCTTTTGGCTCTGTTTCTACTTTTTCTTTTCATTCTTTTCATTTAACTGTTTTTCTCCCCCCCCCAGGGCACCTTGCAACTTAATTATCAGGTCTGATTATTTTCTTTTCTAGTTCCAATGAATTCTTTTTTATTTTTTCCTGATTCTTTTTTTCATTTCTGTTCTCTGTTTTTGAAATTCTGATTTATGTTCATTTTCATGATCTTAAAATGCTCCTTTGAGGATGATTTATTTTTGGAGTGTTGTAATACAGATTCTGTTTGCTTAATTGATGATTTGTATGGGAATAATTTTCAACAGTTGAATTACTTATTCTTTTTTCTGTTTTCAGTACTTATAGATTACTTTAATATTTGTCTACCTTTGCACAGGGTTAGTAGTTTGTGCTTGAGGTTGTTTGCAAGATTACTTAATACATACTTAATAGCATGTTCTTTGGTAGAATAGCAAAATGTTTATTAAATAGATGACTTTTCTAGGGAAGGCATTATTAGGAAGGGATTACATTCCAAGATGATTGCTATTTTTTATTTTTAGAGGATCCTAAATTTCCTCCTTTAATTTCTTTCTTTTTTTTTTATTTCTTTGGGTCACATTTTAGTTTCTAAGGGGGCTCTTCCTCCACTTCTTTTTAACAAAGTTTCTCTTGAAACTTTTCTTTCCCAAAATAGATACATTGAATCATCTTCTTGCATTTTGCAATGTCTCCCTATAATCTGTTCTGGTATACTAGTATTTTTTTCAGTATCTTTACACTCAGGGTACTCTTTCTCCTTCTGCTCTTGATTTTAGTTCACTTTGAGCCTCACTGTTAACTCCTGTCTGCTGAGCAGTTTTTCCCAGACTGTCATAGATCTTTGAGAAGATTTGTGATAGACACATGAAAGAAGACGCAGGTTACAAGATTATTTTCCTATTTGTATATAATTTGAAGTTTGAAGGTTTCTGTTTTTTAGTTCTATAAGTATAACTTTAAAGCATAAGTTTTGTCATTTTGGTCTTTCTGGGTTTGGTTTGGAGACTTTGATTTACCTGAAGTTTGAAGGTTTCTGTTTTTTAGTTCTATAAGTATAACTTTAAAGCATAAGTTTTGTCATTTTGGTCTTTCTGGGTTTGGTTTGGAGACTTTGATTTACCTGTGTATCATTAACTTTTCTACCCTGTATTAATTATGTTTTGACTATGTTTTCTGATGTTTTTCTTTTGTATACTATAAAATGTAGAAAGGGTAAAATAATATATATTTTGGATTTTATCTTTATTATTTCTTGTCACATTTAATACTTTTATTAAAGATAGCTTCACTTCGTCTCCCCTGCAAATTCATGTCAGTAGTGACATTTAAAATTAGTAATAATCTCAAATAATATTTGTTTAAAATTTTCCAATTAAATGAACCATTTTAAGGAAAGGTAGACATAAAAATACTGAAATATAATAGATAACTTTCCCTTTTTCTAGAGAAAGACCAGTATTTGTCATATGAATATAGCTTTTCTAAAAAGAAATCATTTTAGGAATATAATATGGTAATTACAAGAACATTTTATTAGCAAACTATTATCTGAAGCTGACTGTAAATTCTAAAAGATATAATAGGAACTGCCTAACCATAGTAAATGAAATTAAAGAAAACATTTTATCTATGTTTTATTCCCAGTAAACAGTTAAAGTTTTCTTTAAGTTATTTTCTTTGTTATATATACCTGGTCACCAATTTGTCTTATCTTCTCTATTTAACATTTCCTAAACAGTTTATTTCTTTACTTCAAATCTTTTCTAATATTCAGTTATGAATTCAATTTGAAAATTTATGACACTTTTTCTTTAAGATGTGGAACTCCTTATTTGTGGAGTAATTTAATCATCACAGTGGACATTCTTCCCTTTAGAACACTTCAAAGTAGGGCAATTTCCATTTCCTTTTGGATTAATTTTAAAGGAATCTCTTTGGTAGCATTTAACTTTAATAATAGAAAGCAGAGTATCTGAGGAAAACAAATTAGGGCATTACTTACTGAAAAAGTAAGTTGTTTACATCTTTTTTTATAACAGTTTCCTCTCTTAATTTAGCTACCATATGATACTTAATGAATATATTGGTAAGTCATAGTTAAACTGTGGGGGTAAGACACCATTTTATAAGTTATTGATTTAGTGTTGATAAAAGCTTCACTGTTGTGGGCAAAAAACACACCTCTGAGTTTGTGCAGATGTTTTATTGTGATAGATCTATTATCCAGCTATTAGAAGATAAATGACTGATCTTTCCCATTTTCCATGCCTCAAGAAAATTGAAATAAGAAGGGGAATATCATTTGGGCTGTATGATTAGGGCAGGTTGGATGGCCATTAATTTAAGAGAAGAAAATCTTGGCAGCATTGGCCAACTTATACCATATTATCAATCAAACCTTGATGCACATCTTGTGATGACCCAGCACTCTCAGGTTTTTGCAACGTTAATTAGAATTCATGACAAAATAGATGCAAGGAAACGTTTTGTACCCTTCATAATTTTATAGAAAATTTATTGTTATTAGAGGAACCATTTGCTTAGCGTGATTTTTTTCATTACCAGCTTGTCAACTAGCATAGATAATCTGGAGAAAATATGAACTCCATAGATGGGGTGTCACTTTTGTTGATGGTTCATGTAGTTTACCTTGGAGCACAACTAATGGCTGAAGTTCATAGCAACAGCACAGAAAAACGTGGCAACCAAGGGAAGATAAATGAACCATGTTTATTGCTTTAATATAAAAAATACATAAATGGAAAACTGCATTTGAATTTGATGAGCTCATTGCTAGTTTTGTTGAAATGATTTATTTTTCCCCTTATATAAAAAGCTACTATTGACACAGTAAGATGGAAATTAACTGTCTCTTTTTCAAAAACCAATATTTTTGCTTTTAAAATCTGAGATCATTTTATTTTAATTCTGAAAGTTCTATAGAATATTGAACATTTAGTAGACCCAAATTATTAACTCTTTGGGCAATGCTTAGCTTAGGGTCAGACTGTTAAAGTCATACAATGAGAAACCTAAAGTGTTAGTTTTATTTTGGAAGGTATTTTTCTTTAATTCTTCTTAATTATTTTTGTGTTTCATTAAGCTTTCTTTTCACTTCTGTACTTATTATCTCTCCATTTTCATGCTATTTGTTAGTACTTTAGAATAATTTTGTGCTGATAGCTCTTAATTCAATAAATAATACCATGTGGCAGCTGATTTTCCTTTTAATTGGTGTTTAAAAACATTTGAAAAAAACAGTCTCTAGGTTTAGATGAGATGATGGTATTTAGTATTTCTTAAAATTAAATTTTGTAGTATTACTATTTTAATTTTTATGGACTACTTATTCTAAGTGGTATTATTTTATGTGCTTTAACAACTTTTACCAATTTTTATATATATGTATGAATTATATATACATGTATTGTTAATATAGGGTTGATGTATAAATTATATCATTTCACAAATACTAAGAAATTTTGTAGTTTGATGTTATAAACTTGTTTAATGGAATTTTAAATAATGCTAATTCTCATTTAAAAATATGATCATTACAGAATATACTTTCTGAAGACTGGTTTATGCAAAAGACATCAAAATGTAGAGTTGAAAACATGAACTTAACTTCCTTTCTATATCAATAGCAAATAGAAAATTATATGTGTAATACATTTTTATTTAGTTCACACAAATAATCAATTCTTTGCTTTTTTGATTGAGGTGCATACATGCTGGGACCAGCAGGCACCAGTACATGGGCAGGGCTGGAGTCAATAAATGCGGCTTCACGTTTATACTGATTGGTAATTCATAAAATCCCCACAGGACTGGCAACTTGTTTAGCATAATAGGAAGTCTATATTCTGAGCTGTTTTCTTTCAATTGTATTGTTGGTTGCATATTAATAAACTAAATGTCAGCCAAGTAGAGGGACAAACACTAAAAATATGAATATCGTTATATCTAATATTTTTCAAAAAGTACCATTTCAGTAAGTTATATTCACATTTAATTGCTTATTTTATGCCACTGGGGAAATTTTAGACACAAAATGAAGACCCCTTGTGTTCAGAAACAATATGATATTAATTTGTTTTTTTTTTCAAAACTATATTACATTGTTTGCTAACTGCACACATATCAGAAGTATATATGTAGAAGTATTTCTGTATTATGTATTCTGTTTAGTTTGTGTCTTTATACCAAAAAATGTTCATTTCACTACTTTTACAAAAGCATGACAATTCCAGAAACAGTAATTATGGTTCATTAATTGGATTTGGAGAAAGCTGGCATTTGTTGATATTATTTTATTCCTGTATATACATTATTATGTAAATAATAATTTGTATTCTAAATTATTTTGTATTATATAGTTTGTATGAAAGTTTTAGCCTTTGTGTCTTTTTTGTAAATGAGTTATATTGGTAAAATTATCAGGTGTATTAGAATGTGCAAGATTCAAAAGTGCTTTCGTAAAGCATTTATGAGTCCCTCAGACATGTTTTAAGATAAGTTCATTATGGAACTGTAATTCTCATTTTAAACTACAAATGTGTTTTTTTGCCATCGTCTTTCTAAATATTGTTACTCACTAAGTAATAAATCTTAAGATTAGACTCTAGCTTTAAAAGTAAAGCAGTACACATGATTAGCATATTTAATACACATATGATTTCTAAAATTTAAATTTAATATGAAAAAATAAAAAATTACCAGAATTTCTAATTCTAATGCATATATTACATCAGAACATTACAACTATTAAAATTATTTCTTGAGGTAGTGTCACTTTAAAATTTGTGTTCAAACATAAGCAGTCATTTTACTAATTAGATGACTGAATACTTTAAATATTTATTATCATCACATATCTTTAATGCCTAAGTAGATTCTTTGGTGGCAGAAAAATATTTTTTAATGAGTTACTATTTCTTTCTTTTTTAGCTCGTAGCTGGGAGTGTTGTGATGGCTTTTGAAGAAGTATGCCCGGATAGAATAGATTTGATTCACAAGAATTACCGCAAGCTATGTAATTTACTAGTTGATGTAGAAGAGTGGGGGCAGGTTGTTATAATCCACATGCTAACTCGGTATGCTCGTACGCAGTTTGTCAGTCCTTGGAAAGAGGTAAGTGTTAAACAATTTTCCACTTTAACTTTGGGGAATTAAAGAGTTTTAAATATTATATGTGAAAAGTTGAGTAGTAAGATATAAATTCTGCATATTAAGAACTCATTTTTCTCATGTTCTTTTGGGAAGTTGGAACTAATATTAATGTAAAGATAATGGTTCATTATTTGACAAAATGATTGATATATATATTTAATGATGTAGTGTATAAATTTCCATATGATATTGTACAAGAAGCCTTATTAGGATCAGCAGCATGATACAGGGTCTGAAAGGACATTGCCAACCATACATTTTTTTTTGCTATTAGTTACTTTCACAACTTTGAGTCAAAAAAATTGTTAAAGGCACCTCAAATGTGAATTTATACATAATTTCTTACCTTTATAGATAAATGCTGTTGAAGTTTAAAACTACTTTCCTCCCAAGTTTATATATCTAAAATATGTTCATTTTCTTTTAAACTGGTAGAATTTTGGTAAAATTATTAATTAAATATACCTTAAAGTGAAGTTACTTGTGCATATTAGCATTAGAAACACATCTTATTCTTTTCCATATTGACAGTTTAGTAAATTTTGTTACATAGTTAGCAATAGAGATCACATTTTATTTCTTTAAATGTAATTTTTAAATTCCTATAAAGATAATAAATCATTAAATATTATAAGAATAAATGCCACCTCATTTTAACCTTGAGTTATTTCTTTTTCCTTTTTTAAAAAGTAGTAGTATCAATTTAAAAAATCAGTCATGTAAAAAGTTAAAAAACCAAGCAATCTCCCAATCATGGCATAATGATTTGTACACAAACTTATATATAGGCCCTTAGTACATACTACTGTATTTTGATAATTGGAAATGAAGTGTACATAAAATGGAAAAATGTTTATAATGTTTGCTTTAGGTGATATGTGATTTTTTTTCTGATGCTTAAGGGGTGTAAATGTTTAAAGTGTTAATGTTTTCTATAACTAGGTAGTATTGTTAGTATTAAAAAGTACTTTGAAATTTAAAAATATATTGTTATTCAGAAGACTGTTCAATTTTACTTTACTGTCACTTCCAAGTCATTTTCAACAGCTATATGTAGATGAGCCTTTGCTTTCTCATTATGTAAGAATGATTTTAAATATATTGTTTCCTCCCTTGTCTTCTAAAAATATATACTAGACTTTTAAGTGTCTGTTTTTTGTAGTTTGTATATTTATTTGTGTTTCTGTTCTTTGAATTTTATTTTCTCTTATTAAAAATAGAACTCACTGTAAGTTATTTGCAAAGCAAGGAAGTTAAATTCTATAATACCATATATATTCTTTTGACAGATAATTTGAAAAATTGGGATTACATGCATTCTTTGTGTTTTCACGTATTAACTGTGAACATTAATTATCTCAAATGTGAATTGAAGTCTGATCACTGTTATGATGCACTGGAATTAGGCTAAATAATTTCTTATCTTTGCCACTTATTTATAATCTGACCTTGGAATTATTCTAAATTATGTGGTTAGTAGACTAATTCAAATGTGTACCTCAGCCCTCTGCACTGTAGCACTGCCATAGGAATAACCAAGGGGGCAGTGGTGCTCTAGACTGTGTAGCTCTCTGGACTGTTGCCACAGTTTCAAATAGGGCTGCCTTCACCTTTGCTGCCTTTGTATGCAGCTTTGCATATGATTTCCTTTCAGAAAGATTCCTTGGCGTTAGATAAAAGAAATAAACAAAATGCAACTTAAAGGAAAGATTTGTAATGGCTTAGTTAGCTAAAATCACTTTTTTTTAAATTATGGAAATAATTCACGTATATAGTATGAAAACAAGACTTCATGTAACTTATTTATTGACCTCTTAAATGCAGTTATTGGCAGCCAGTTAATTTCAGTAATTGTAGTGGTTATAAATTTAATTTGGATAACGATATTCACTGTTTATTTAAATGATATCAGGTGACTCCAAAGTAAGATACCAGGTTTGTTGTGTTTCTTTGTTTATTTTATATATAGTGTAAGAGACCAGTGGGAAAGATTTGAAAGGGTTATTCTTTATTGTAGTATTAGACATAGGAATTGTCAAAGCTGTTAGATTTGTTACAAGTGCACTTTGTGAAATAGATTATCATTTAGTCCATGTCTATGATCACCATGATCACTTAGTTAACGTGTCCCAAACTTTTTCTGTGGCTAGTTGTAATTCTGTTTTACAGAGAAGCTTTAGATTGAGCAGTTCAGCCATTTGTAGTCTTGATGATTTTTTGGCCTAGACTTTTAAGTGCTCCCAACTTTTTAGGACACAGTAATTTTAACTATAGAAGCTGGTAGACAGAATTATAAAGCAAATTTTGACCATCCCTTGAAAAAACTAAGAAGTGTTCACCATGTATAGCTGCTTTAATTTTTTATCTTCTGATGCTTTTAAAAGCATACCATGTAGTAAAGAGCTGTTAACATTATAGAATAAAAAGGCAAAGTAAAACTGCTGAGTTGTTACCATCAATTATATTCTTTCATATCTTTTACCATCAACACTGGAATGTATTTTTTTTTTATGGAATCAATGGTAAAGAAATACCTTAATTCTATTATCCCATCCCCTTGTACATGCAGGCAGAAGTCACCATCAGTATTGTATGAACATTTTATATATCATTTTATAAAAGGTCATTTACCTTGAAGTAAAAGTACCTGTAAGAAAAATCACTAAAATAATAATTGACCTAAATTATTTAAAATAAAAAGCTAACTATAACTATGGAATTCATCAAAATTGAGGTTCCTTTTGCAAGTACTAAGAGGAAAATGTGAAAAATAATGTGATATATTGTAGTTAGCAACTTATTACTTTGCTGTACTTTTTTATCATTTATAGTATTTTACTTGATAGAACAGTGGGAATTGTTATATCCATTTTCTAGATGAAAACATTGAGAAATAGAGATTTTAATGACTCAGTGAAGGTACTGTTGCTCATAAAAAGTGGTGTGAGAAATGCTTAAAGAGCAACTTGATGCCTAGGTCAACATTTTTCCTTTGTGTTATATAGCCTTACGACTTGAAGTGTCATAATGTTTACCAAAAGAGTGTCTTATGTTTTTGCCTTTTGTGTTCTAGTCAAAGCTGATCTTGAAGCCTCCCCAATCCATAGTGTTCAGACATTGCAATTAGCTAACAACCATAATTAAATTTGATTTTGATTTTCAAAGAGAAAAATGTGTTTCTCATTGAATTCTTTAAAATGTTTGTGTTTATATGCTTAAAGGGTGGCAAAATTGTTTTTTGTTGAGGAATTGAAAATTGTAGAAATACTTTTTGAGATGAGTTGATGTGCATGCTTTTGTCAATAAATTCTCAAATGAACATATCATATACAAACAAGCTTGGGGCAGAAGAGATTTTTAATTTAGTTTATTTACATCATTATAGATCAGTATTTAGGCTGTTTATATGTAAATGTATGATTTGAGGAACAATTAAGTCTTGACAAAGTAGATTGCAGTCATATCAATTGCAGTGCATTTTCCATAATTTTTCTAACTGACATCTTTGATGATAAATAGTGGATGCCAAGTCAAAGCCGATTATACAGTGCACTAGGAATTCATGGGGCTGTCAGGGAGAAGACCGATTGACTTTAAATTTACATATTAATGAGAAGATTTGTTAAGAGGGTGCTTGACTATAGAAAATAACAGCGTATTTATAGGGCACGACATTTTATAAATAAAGCTGATGCAGGAAAATGGAAATTAAACCTTTTAGGTTAATAAATTCAAGAGGCTTGCTAAAATGTGTATTTGCATTTATATTTTCTTAAAGTATAAGAATTACCTTATTTTTTACAGTTCATGAGTTTTTTTTTTTTTTTTTTTTTGTCTAGGTCAAGTTTGTATAATTTCCAGGGATACAAAATTACTTAAATATTTTCTTTGTGTCATTCCAGACTACTATGGGAAAATACTTGAAGCATAAATACTTCTGTAGGAGTAATGTATTTAAAAACATAAAAATTATCAAACTCCAAGAAAGTATTAAAGTCATTAAAATAAAATCTTTTAGTTGTGTTAATTATAACTGAAATAAAACTCTGGAACAGGAGCTTGACAGTAATGTTTTCAATTTTATGAATGTAGCTCTTTAAAATTGAACTTTCTTTAGGAGGTGATTGTTTTGCAAGAATAATCAGAGTATTTGTATTTAGTAATTTGGAACATAAAACTATATATTCACTGTTAATTTTGTACATATAAATACAGATTATGTATATATAGTGGCAGTACTATGCCACTTTGAAGTTAAATTGATGGCTTTATTTTTCCTTTAATATATCCATACTTTCATGATAAAACTTAATAGGTGTAAAAACATTCCAGGTTTAGATTTTCTTTTAGTATTGTTAAGTTTTTTTCAGGGGTTAGCTAGTAAATCAGAACTCAAAATTTATATTTGTAGTATTTGATTTTCTGTTTTCTCAAAGGACAAAAACACATACTCTGGGAAATTGGTTTAGAACTTCATATCTACTTCTTATCTTAGAGGACCTAAGTGTTAGAGATTATCTTCATAGAGTTTTTAATTTTCTTTGTAGGTTGAATTTCTTTATAAAGTAAATTTGGTATTGTGTCTCACTAAGAAACTATTATACACTATGCTGTGGAAAGTTTTTTTTTTAATAGTTTATTTTTACATCATTTTGTGCCTTTTTCCATCTCAGTTGTAACCTCTGTGGACTTCCCATCACCAAATCACCTGTGTGCCATCACCAAGTCCCATAAAACTCCCCCCACCTCATTTTTGATCCCATTCTCCCACTTCATCCTTGTAAAATGTCTCTGGTATGTAGTTGTTCAATATTATTATTTTTTTTTTTACCACTAGTCCTTTATGCTCCTGCTATGAGTGAAACCACCTGGTATTTTTCTTTCTCTTTCTGGCTTATCTCACTAAGCATGATCTTTTCCAGCTCCATCCAAGTTGCTG